TGCCCAAGTGCGTTTTTGGACCTAAATTAGAGCGTGGACCATTATCCCGAAGCCAGCCCGAACTAGTCGAGATGAACAGCTGAACAGCTAGTTAGTTCCACGACAACAGCGTCTCACAAAAGCTGCAAGTTTGCCTTATAAAGCGTGTACAGTCATTACCGGTCTTCAAGTTAGAGTGCGTTAAAGTCATGCGAAATACAATTTTCACCAAAATGCCTTTGCCACAGCCATCTATTGTATAGAATAGAATAGAATATTTTATTGGTCTACATTAATACATAACATATTATGGTAGCAAGTCAAAGAAACACACATTCATAAAAACAACAATTTAAGAAAAGCCAACTAAAGTACTAGACTAATTGAAATATACATTTACCTAACAATAAAAATTTCTTTATAACAGAATAAACGTCAGAGTTAAAGCAACCACTAAAAGTCATGAACACTATCCATAAAGTCACCAACGAAATAAAATCATTTTGACAACAAATAATTCTTTACGCACAACTTAAATTTGACCTAACAGTGATTTTGTATGTGATGGGAGGACATTGTACATGTTTAAATTTAAGGAATTTCTCGCAGTCAGTGCTAAGCGATATCTAGGTAGCCGCAAGAATTTAGAAGCACGAGTACAGTAATTATGTATATCCGATTGAATCGTGTAACTAGCAATATTCTTATGAATATCCAATAAACAGTAATAAACAAATAGCAATGGCTAGGGCATAATTGCAAGGTTCACAAAAAGTTGGCGACAGTGATCTCTATAAACTTATAAACTACGTTGGCCAGAATACGAATGTTTTTTTGGATTGGAAAGCGCTAGAGCAGCACCCTTCTCCCCCCTTCATATTGTCCTATGTGTTTAAAATAATAGATGGCTCTCTTTTTGTAATGAATTAAGTTTCTAAATTAATTGTAGTCGAGGAAATAAAGCACTGAACCTCCGAAATTTTTCGATCAAGTCGTATCAAGATGAGGATTTTTGCATTCGCTTTCTAAAATTATGTGGAAAAAAATGTATCAACTTTGTATTATGTTTTTCGGCCAAATTGCATTTGTGCAATGAAAAATGCATCCGGAAAAATGCATTTTTAAAAGTCGCTTAGAAAAAATTCATAACTCGGTTCATAATGTCTGGAATGGACTCAAATCAAGATCCTGGGGGTTTTCAAATTGGTCCATCGCCGAGCTGGAGCTTAGGATAGGATGATGAACGTCATCTCCGAGGCTTCTCCTAAATTTCACTCTTAAATGCAACGAGACTTGACACCCGGGGGTTTTTCGGGTCGCTAATTTCTAATCTGGCGTTGGCGAGCACCTCCCGGACACCTGGTGTATGCAAGTGTTGTTTCAAAAACAAATCAAAATCATTTATTTCCAAATCAGTTGCCATTTCTAACCTACTCTTAATTTCAATTTAATTTAACTCAAATATAACCTAACTCCGTTTTTATCCTAATCCAATCAACTATTAACTTTAATTTGAAAATATTCTAGTAAATATCATTTTCATCAACTGGCGTATAGGGCCCGGATAGTTTTTCGAGTGTCCCGGTCTAGAGGCTTACAGTCGTGCATGCGTCGTATTATAAGATGATTTCGAGAAAAGCGGCCCGAAAAAACCCCTGATGCGATTTTCGGCTCGTTTACGCTAATTTTACAGGAAATATCCCGTAGATGACGTCCATGTCCAGGCTCCGGTGCACCAGGTGTCCGGGAGGTGCTCGCCGACGCCAGATTAGCAATCAGCGACCCGAAAAACCCCCGGGTGTCAAGTCTCGTTGCATTTAAGAGTGAAATTTAGGTAAAGCCTCGGAGATGACGTTCATCATCAATCCTAAGCTCCAGGTCGGCGATGGACCAATTTTAAGGTCATATTCGGGATCAGCGACCTCGAAAACCCCCAGGACTCTGATTTGAGTCCATTCCAGGCATTATTAACCGAGTTACGATTTTTTTTTTAAGTATGACTTTAAAACTGTATTTTTCCGGATGCATTTTGCACTGCACAAATGCAATTTGGGCACAAAACATAATACAAAGTTGCTACATATTTTCCACATAATTTTAGAAAGCGAATGCAAAAAACCCCATGTTGATACGATTTGATCGAAAAATTTCGGAGATTTCGGCTCTTTTTGTGTTTTATTTCCTCGACTATTAAGTAAATTAAAATATCCAATATTAATCCAGGTTGTGTATCCTTAGATGGGTACTGCCTCTTATTGTTGATTTCTTTAGATAGGTAAAATAATTATTGACACAAGTGTTGCATATCATGGATGTCATTGGTAGTGCTCATATTTGTGACACAAGGTGTTCAAAATAATTAACACAATGTAAAATTGCTGGAACCTCAAGGAGTAGTTGAATACGAAATTTATTTAAAAAAAAAAAAAAAAACAAATCATCAATCAATGATCCCTTACAGAGATAAGATAATGCGTTCGCTACTGCTGTTGCAATTTTTGACTAACTTTTTTGTTTTTCGACATACTGACTTCGGACCGTTTCCATTCAACGCAGAACGGACAATCAGAACCAGAGTAGTGGGGAGATTTTTTTAATTATTTTTTCAATTCAACGCACCGTTTCCGAATTATAAGACCTTTTTTACTGTATCACCTCACACACCTCTTCTTTCCGAAATTTATTTTCCACATACGGACTTCGGACCTTTTCCATTCAACGCAGAACTGTCATACAGAACCAGGGGTGTGGGGAGATTTTTTCAATTATTTTTTCGATTTAACGCACCGTTTCCGAGTTATACGGCCTTTTTACTATAACACGACATACCTCTTGTTTCCAGAATTTATTTTCGACATACGGACTTCGGACCTTTTGCATTCAACGCAGAAGGAACATACAGAACCCGGGAGGGAGGGGTTGACATTTTTCAATTATTTTTTCGATTCAACGCACCGTTTCCGAGTTATAAACACTTTTTTATCCTATGACGTCACACACCGTTGGTCCCGATTTTTTTTTTTACATGCGGGTTTTGACGTTTTTCACTCGTTCACCATGGGAGATTTATTTGTTCACCATGGGAGATTTTTTGATACTTAAGAGTCTAAGCAAATACTGTTTTTTTTTTTTTCATATATTGTGACACCCCGCTCTGCGTCACCCACCGAGTGCTCTACTCAGAACCAAGGGGAAATTTGTTTATATTTCCAGCCATTTCCGAGTTACGAGCAAAAACCATTTTTTTTTCTTATACTGTGTGACATCATAGATCGATAACGAAGGCTTAACAAGGCCACGCGCTCTACCCCACGTTCCCTCCCTAGGTGTCCTGAAATTGCTGGGGAGACTCCTGAAGACAGCAGAGAGAGAGAGAGAGAGATAGAAGCTTTCTACGAGGACAGAGTCACTCTATCTCTATCGCACACTATAACTCTATCTCTCTCGCACACAATCAGACAAAAACGACAGAAACGAACCTTCTTTTAAAAATACATGGGATTTATCATTATTAGAATAACCCATTTTAATTTAAAAAATTAAAAAAATTACAATGGGTTATTCTGATGACGAAAAATAAAACATAATTAACTGTATTATTCAAATAACAATAATGTGCAAAAGTTCTTCAGGAATATTGGCAAATTTATTTTGGAGGAAGAATCCCGTCAACGAACACTAAAAAATATTATTAGAAACCTTAGGTGGCCAGAAAACAGCCCCGATCTCATTGTCAGTCCTTTAGACATATTTTTTTTTCCCTGAAAGTTTACAAATATTGAAAGAAAAATACAGGACGAAATGCTTGATAATTTTGAATTTGTTTTTGAAGCAATTAATAGTAAATTGAAACATATTTTCAACTGTATCATCACAATCACTTGCATGTTGATTTGTAAAAATTGTAGGTATATTAATGTTATTTCGTTTTTAGTTATTCTCCTTATGTTGTTGTAAAGGTTAGTTATAAAAAGCGTTGTTTGTTATTTTCATAAGGATGAATTTTAATTTTTTTTAATGATTTTTTTTATTTTAAACATATATATTTTATGCCAGTAAATTTTGATGTCAAATGAAATAAAGGAAAAGTCGTACATTTGTATTTAAAGTTTCTTTCTATCTTTAATTATTAAACCTATAAGTGGATGTCAAAATACAAAAAAAAACCTGTACCTACATTCCGCGACGTACTAATAACCCACCTTGTATATTAAATAAATTTATCGTCATCATCAAATATTAAAAAAATTATATTACAAGCTGTTTAAAATATTATTACGAATTTTGTTTATTTGGAAATATATTTTCTGCAGTATTTCAATACCAAAAAATGAAAATAGTAGGTAGCTAATTAACGAAATTATGATTAAATAACTTAATTGTAACACCACTGCAGAATATCATATGATACATACATAGATATTCGTTGATTCTTTAAAAACATTTTTATCAATACCTACATCATACATTGAAGTAAATACAGTAACGCAAAAAACAGATGTTGATAAAAAAGTGTACAAAAGAAATCCGTAAGTACGCCTGGCAACATTACCAATGTCTTGTTTATATGTTGCTAAAATTCTGCTGGTGGTGTACTCTACCGGTAATTTGGAAATTTAAAACTGCTGGCCTATTCCAGGAGCGGTCTGTGGAGATAGCTATTTTGTCTGTGATAGCATAAATATCACTTTTTATCCACATTTCACACGAATAATCTCATTAAATAATAAAAATAAAAAATATATAAGAACCACAATTCCACATATTCGATTGAGGAACAAATTTATGCATTAAACATATACTAGAAGATTTGTACTATTTTATTTTTTAACTTTTTAACATTAGTGCTAAAAAGGGGGACGATAGATCAGTATTTCATGTGGATGTGGTTTAATTTGGCCGAAACATGGAAAGAAAAATATCCGGTATAATGAGAAAATACCAATTAATCCTCAAAATTATTTATTTCCCCATATTAATAAACGTACATAATAACATTTATAAAATGCTCAATTAGTTTCACCATTCTCTTCTTGCCAGCCTCACTCTGACTCCATTTGAAGACTTCAGGACTGCCTCAGCAATTAACACCATTTTATGTTCAATTGTAGGTGGGTGTAGTTCAAAATTTCTCAACGTTCTGGACAGAATGCTTTTCAGTTCCAACATGGCAAACTTTTGGCCTAAAATGTGATATAAATTGTGTATGTACAAGTGTAGTGTGCAAATAAATTAAAAAAATAAAATCAGTTTAGTTTTTCATCTGAGAATGTGTCTATATTATTCGAAACGTGGTACACCTAATTAGTAATAGTTTATGTTGAATAATTCCATAACCTTTATACCTTGTCACGTGTCAGTTATAATTTATTGACTAATTAGAAGTTTGCAAAAACAGTTAATAGTGTTGAACAGCAATTAAAAAAATTGGTTTTTACATAATTTGGAGATTATAAGAACGAAATTAACTTGAAATGCATATTGAAATATATTTTAAGCGAAATGAGAAAAATTTTTACCTATACAGTTCCGGGGTCCAGCACTGAAGGGGATATAAGAATACGGCCTAGTCCCGTCATTGTTTTCGAACCTGTCTGGGTCAAATTTTTCTGGATTCTCAAAATTATCTGGGTCCCTAAGAATACTATAGCTGACTACCAGAATGTTAACATCCTTTGGAATTATGTTACCTAAAAAAATAGACTACAGATACTTTACTATACACTAAAATTATTTACCTTTGTATTGGATATCTTGAGTGGTCACTCTGCCTAACAGGGGTACTGGTGGGTATAACCTTAGGGTTTCCTTGATGACGTTTTCCAGATATTTCATTTCCAGCAAATCGTTGTAGGTTGCCTTTCTGTTTATGTCGTCGTGGAATATGTGTTTTTGCTCTTCTACAGCCCGTTTCTAGAAAAAGTTTCATTTTTTACACTATTTTAAAGATGTTAAGCTAATAAGAATTTGGTACATGCTAGTTCATTGTGTCTTGCTTCGCTATAAATAAAATCTATATGCACTAAATCTGATTTGCTTTATACATAGGCCTTTCTGAGTGCTTGTAAGGCTGATGTAAACAATAATCCACAGTGACAAGAACTTAAGATACATTTTAACAAACATATTATCAAGTAATTATAATTTGATGAATTAACAGACTAAAAATTTGCCGATTTCAGAGATTATTTTAGTTTATTAAAAAACATCATGGTTTTGATCATTAGTATAATTTGATACAAACAATTAAATGCTACCTGGACTTCTGGATGCATTGCCAGTAAATATAATGCAAAACTCGCAGCTGAAGAAATAGTATCGTGTCCCTGAAAGATATAATAAAGAGTATGTAAATGACATTTCACAAATAATAGTACAAATTATAAAGATCCAGTTCAATAAATTAACACACAACATAGTGATTAGTTTATCTGATATTGTTGTTTCACCTCGAACATAAATGTGTCCACTTCCTCCCTGATATCCTCCCTAGACAGGGGTTCTCCATCGATGGTGGACCGAAGGAGAATATCCAAAAAAGTCATTCTTTCTTTTTCCCCAACACTTTCATCAAAGTGTTTCGTTCCATTCAGTTCGAGCTCCTTTCTTCTGGCGTCTATCACGGAATACGTCATCGCGTGGAGTTCTTGTACGGCTTTTTTCTCTTTATAAAAATCAGGACAAAACGCGTACAGAGTATCACTCTTTTTTGCAATGGAAAATATCCTGTCCATGGATATCCTGCACATTTCCCTTACGTTTTTCGCGTAACGCAATTGTTTGTCTTTCTGTGCATTTATAGACACCCCCATAGCTGCCTCTAGAATCGTAAAAATGTAATTTAAAACTCAAAATACAACGTAAACACATCTGCCTCGGCTTTAGTTCCCACAGATTGAGGTTAAATGTCATAGGGATATTCGTTTTTAAGTGATCTATCCAATCATCAACAGATCACTTTACTAGGATGTTTTCTAGGATAATTTTGAAAATTAAATGGATTCGTGTTCACTTTTTAATGAGATATTTATTCCCCTGTTATCTTGTATATCACCAGTCGCGAATTAAAATATATTCTACTATTTCTTTATACGCGTGCAATACCCCAAATCACCTCCTAGGTTTTGCTCAAGGAACTTTATAAAATTATGTATTCTGATATTTTAAATTTACCCCCCTTGGATGAATTTATACTATTTACCACATATTGCGTCTAGTGCAAAGCGATTTAAGAAAGAGTAAATATTAGTAAAATCCTCATTGACTTCATTTTTCAGCTCCCACATCAGTATGTCCAAATTTTGTTCAAATACGTCAGTGAACTTTTCCAGGAACGAGAAGTGAAATGCAGGTGTTATCAGCTTCCTGCGTGCCCTCCATTTCTCGCCTAGAACAACATTTTTAATTAATATACTAGGTTTTTTAAAACTTCAACTAAATACGCGCCATTATTCTATGGCTAGAAATTGGCCTCAATGATTTGGGATCGAGGGGGATTATCCCTCTTTATCCTGCCTCATCTCGTGTAGGCCTGGACAGCCTTCGTAGGTGGGCCCCATCCGTCGTCTACCCCGACCGCAAATGCGGCCGGTGTAGGCGCTTTGTGGGACCTCCTTTTGTCCTGGCTGGGCCCCGCCGGCTAGGGCCCTTTCTTCTGGCGCTCTTCTTGCTTCGCCGGCTCGTCTGTGTAAACCCCGGGGGTAGTGTCATGTTTATG